CTCCAGCTAACCTGCAGTATGGGAAAACAATAAACAGGGGACTTGGACACAGATTCAATTTGGGTTCTTATCTCAGTATTACCAGTTACTATTTAATATTGGGAAAATTACCTCACTATGCAGGACTGATGGACATAACAGTGACAACTTTGAAGGGTGGTTATATGAAATATAGAAAAAAAAATACCTAGCACACTGCCTGCCACGTGGTAGTTGCTTAATAAATACTAGCTATTACTGTTATTATTACCTAGTGTTCTCTATCATTTAGACTGTCAACCTCACTAGATTCTTGTCAGCCCCATTCTGACAATTCTGTCAGTAAACTGTTTTTCATTACACAGGGTACAACTGATTAGCACAACTTTCTAGATTACACTCACATGACAGGCCTCCCAGGCCAGTCTGAATGGACCTGGGGATCACAAGCTCTCTTCTACTATACAAACAATCTCATGCTAGTTTACGTCATATTCTGCCTCAACTCGGTTTCATTCCTATTTGAACCTGGGCCTACAGATCAATCCTAGCATCAGAAAACTACTATACACTCTTTGCCTTGGCAATGAAAAATGAGGCAAAAAGAAATCTAGCTTTAAAAAAACGAACTCCAAATTGTGTCTTTGTGTCCACTCTCATCTTTAAAAATGTACAGATGCAAGAACTTTAAGATGATTTTTATGCATCACTAGGATAAATTCTTTTTTGTTGTTTTTTTTTGTTTTTTCTGGTTCTTTTTGTGGTATGTGGGCCTCTCACTGTTGTGGCCTCTCCCGTTGCAGAGCACAGGCTCCGGACACGCAGGCTCAGTGGCCATGGCTCACGGGCCCAGCCGCTCCACGGCATGTGGGATCTTCCCGGACCGGGGCACGACCCCGTGTCTCCTGCATCGGCAGGCGGACTCTCAACCACTGCGCCACCAGGGAAGCCCTAGGATAAATTCTTAATTGAGAGGTAGCATACCTTAGTACAAGCCTGAAGGGTAAATCTGCTTTCCTTCTGGACCATAGGTGGTTTAGGTGAAACTTGTACTTGGGTCTGAGGTCAAGCAAGACACCTCCCAGGAGCTATGTTCCATTCTTACACAGAGCCCTAAAATCACAACTAAGAGCATCCAAACTGGCTCCAAATCAATAGTTCCCACCACTGCAGGGCCTACAGTTATTACTCTAAGCATTTTGAGATAACTATAAAAGAATCAAAAGAATTCACACTTTTATTTTTAATTGAGAGCAATCGCTATTTTTTAAATTATTTATTTATTTATGGCTGCATTTGGTCTTCGTTGCTGTGTGCAGACTTTCTCTAGTTGCATCGAGTGGGGGGTTCTCTTGTTGTGAAGCACAGGCTCTAGGTGCACAGACTTCAGTAGTTGTGGCACATGGGCTCAGTAGTTGTGGCTCATGGGCTCTAGAGCTCAGGCTCAGTAGTTGTGGCACACAGGCTTAGTTGCTCTGCAGCATGTGGGATCTTCCCCGACCAGGGATCGAACCCATAGTCCCCTGCACTGGCGGGAAGATTCTTAACCACTGCACCACCAGGGAAGTCCCAAGAATTCACATTCTTTACTCAGTTTTTCACCAGGTTTCTCTGTGTATCTGAAATCAGGTTAGACCAATCTCCCAACTGCCAGCACATAATCACAGGATCTTGATATTTACCAATAATGAGAGCCTCTTTACATAGGAATGGTACCTTGGCCAAATTCCAGTTTGACAATCTGCCTCTACATATTAAATTTTCAAAATGTTACTTCTTATCAATCAAATAATTATTATGAACCTACTGAATGTTCCACACTATGATGGATGCTAAGAATATGAGACTTCAGTAACTGTCTGCCAAGAGCTTGTGAAATTTAGCAGTTCAGATTACTACTGTAGTATGATAGACTGCTAGATCTGAAAGAGGACCTGTCCCCTACACCAGAGACATTAATAAATTACAACACACAGATGAAGATTTCTTAAGTCATTGTTCTTTCAGTTATCATTACAAGATAATTATGGAACTTGGCATTCAATCTCCACAATAAGTAGTTCCAATACACATAAACAGTACAGAAATAATATAGAGAGTAAGATGCAATAGATCCAAATAAATAAGAATTTTAAATTTTCACTGAGAGTCTAGGAGTCTACCGCACATGATACGGACTCCCTCTGCTGGTGCCTAACAGCAGCAGCTCCATGACCAACAATATCACTGACAAAAGAGCAACAAAAGCCAAAGGACTAATCTAAATTCGCTTCTATGTTTTTTTGTTTGTTTTATAAATTTATTTATTTACTTTTGGCCACGTTGGGTCTTCGTTGCTGTGTGCGGGCTTTCTTTTTAGTTGTAGCGAGTGGGGGCTACTCTTTGTTGCGGTGCACAGGCCTCTCATTAAGGTGGCTTCTCTTGTTACGGAGCACGGGCTCTAGGTGTGTGGGCTTCAGCAGTTGTGGCACATGGGCTCAGTAGTTGTGGCACATGGGCTCATTAGTTGTGGCACAGGGGCTTAGTTGCTCCGCAGCATGTGGGATCTTCCCAGACCAGGGCTCGAACCCATGTCCTCTGCACTGGCAGGCAGATTCTTAACTACTGCGCCACCAGGAAAGTCCTTGCTTCTATTTAGATTAGGGGATGTTTCATAGTGGATTTGACTATGGATCAATCAAAGGTGACAGTAAAAATGATTGTGCTTTATTGCAACTGCTTAAAAAAAAAAAAGGAACAAATTGTAAATCTTGCATATTTGTGCTATTAAAACAGAGGGATAAAAATATTTAATTTGTTTTCATTTGGACTGCATTGTGTGATTTTTAACGGCATATTTTCTCTCCAAAATAGATTTCTCTTAGTTTCATTTCAGTTCAAATTAAATTATTTTTAATCTGAATCCTTATAACTTGGTGAAAAGAGGAGGTCAAAGACCATAGGGGAATACTGACCTGTGATTAGTCCATAGAGCACACAAATCACACTTGGTTATTTGAGAGAACAGAATTGTATTAGCTGGTTACAGCCAGTAAAGCTATCACCAGAGCTAGCTTTTTAGAATACCACACGTCTATAAAACTCATGTAATCTTTAGTCTGTCCTAAATGCAACTAATATACTAAAACAGATTCAGTGGGCTTCCAACTTCCAGTACTAGCAGAATAGTTTGGTTAGAGTAATCCTGCCACAAATATAATTATAAATTCTGGAAAAAATACTAAACATTCATTATTTGAAGGCACTAGAGACTGACCAAAATCAGGCAGAAACTGCAACTGGTGAAATTTGGGAATTGGTGGCCTTTTTGCACTCCTCAATCCACGAACAGCTTGCATAGCCTCACCTTACTGGCTTGAGGTTTCAGAGGACAGAGTTCAAGACTGGCAGAGTAACCAGAAAATTAGGGGAGAGACTTGAGAGGGAAAGGCAGAAGGAGTAAAGCCTAAAACATGCCTATAAAATCCACCCAAAGTTTTTGCTTTCTGCTAAACTACACATACATGGGGGAGACAAATAAAGCACTAAAGCAGCAACTGGAAGCTTTAAAGAATGAGCAGAGATTTCAGCTGCTGCCCAACATAAGGGAGACAAGAGTTTGGAGTATGAGTTGAGCCAAGCCATCTGCTAGAATGAAAATCACATTTCAGAGGAATATAACAGAATTCAGAGTCTCTACAATGTATTAGTCATAATATCCAGTATTCAATAACAAATCACTAAATATAGTAAGAAAAAGGAAAATGTGACCCATTCTCAAAAAAAATGCAGTCAACAGAAACCAACTCAAAGATGATCTAGATGATGCAATTAGCAGTGACATAGGACCAGTATCTAGACTCTTAAAAAAAAATTGATAATAAAAATAACCCAAATTTTTAAAAAAATGAGCAAAAGGCTTGAACAAACACTTCAGAAAGGAAGATCTGCAATGGCCAATAAGCACATAAAAAAGTGTCCAACATTTGTCATCAGGGAAATCCAAGTTAATACTACAATGAGATGTCACTTTACACCCTCTAAAATGGCTAAAATTGAAAAGACCAACAATGCTATATATGGAGCAACCAGAATTCTCACACTTTACTAGAGGGAATGTAAAGTACATCCACTTTGGGAAAAGGTTTGGCAGTTTTCCATAAAGTAAACTGTACACTCAGCTGCTCCATTCCTAGATATTCATCCAAAATATCTGCAAAAAGACTTACAAATGAATATTCAAAGCAGCTTTATTCACAATGGCCAAAACTGATACAACCCCAAAGTCTCCAAAAAGGAATGAATAAATACATTGTGGTAAATTCATACAATGGAATACTAGTCTGCAATAAAAAAGAATGAACTATTGATACATGGCATAACATGGATGACTCTCACAGACAGTACAGTGAGTGTAAACAACTGGACACAAACACGTTTATATGACGTTTAAAATAAAACAAGACTAAGATTAATCAAAAAATATGATGCATCAAATAAGGAGTTTAGACTTGATATGGAGAGGAAACAGAAGTTTGCTTCAAGTTCTTAAGCAGGAGACAACTTTCAAAGTGGAATTTAATGCTTTCTAGAGATTAAATTTTACTTTTGAAACTTATTTTTAAATAAAAACTCCTTATTTGGGATGTATCTAACTTGACTTGCTTTAGAGAGCTCTTAACACAGGTGAAACGTGTATGAAAAGTTTTTCGAGCAAACGAAAATAAAGGAGTGGATATTGCCTAGTGACAATATAACTTCTTTAAAAGTGGTTCTAATCTCAAGTAAAAGAGCATGAGAACACAAATGTCCGAGGACTTAAGGTTTACAGTGTGAATAATATTAACAGATTAACATATAGGATTAATAGCTATTAAGGATGTTACATATCTGATGAAACACATCTGATGAAACGTTGGACTTGCTTCAAATATGGGGTTTTACTTGGCTATTCATTTTTAATTCTGGCTCTAGTAACAGCCCTATGCTAAATTTTCTATCAAAATACTTTACTATATGAGGAAAAAGTTCCTAGCATTTACCTTGTCCTGAAGGGTTTGCTGCCATCTTCCTATTTTCTGTTTCAACTATGTTCCGTGGCAAGTGGTCTGCACTTTACAATCACCTGTAAAAAATAATGTGCAGACACATACCTTCATCTCTTCAGAAACATCTGTCTGAAGGGCACAAAGACTTAAATCAAACGCCTCAAGTTATTTAATTAGAGCGTGAAGGTTAAATGTTTATTCTTGCAGATGTTGATACCAACGTTCACCATTACTGTCTTTAATTACTTCATTAGGTTGTGTTTACCAAATACTACCAAATGTATCAACTAACTGATAGCATCAATACAATCACAGGGCTAGGAAGAAAAATCACTCATCTGTAGTGCCTCTCGATTCATTTAAAAAACGTACCCAGCAACTACTGTGTATACTGAAAGCTAGAAAGGAAAAAGAGCCGAATATTTATCGCGTACATACTCTGCACCATACAAGATCTGTAAGATGATTGAAATTAATTATTTTATTTATCACCACTTCATACATAGGGAGATCGTGTCCAAGGTCACAAAGCTAGTGCGAAAACTTTGGACTGTTAGCTTCCAAACTTCGTGCTTTTGTACTAGGCCCTGGGGAGATCCCAAATGAGCAAGACCCTACTCCCGCCCTCAAGAAACATATAATCCGGTGGAAAAAGACGGTCTCATTCAAGCAACCGTACTAAAAAAGTTTAACCAACGCGCTCTTTACATGGAGTAAACAGCGCTCCGGAAGCAGAGACGAACTGATTCTACCGGCGTGACAAGGGGTGCCTTCTGGGGTAAGCGGGAAAGTACCAGAGCGAGCAAACAGATGTCAGTTTGGAACGAAATAATATTAGGTGCCTCCTGCAGCTGAAGCACAGAGCGAGCGAAGCCGGCTTAGGACGGGAGGGACAAGAGGGCCATCTCGTGACGGGGAACGTCAATCAGGGATGTGACAGGACTGGACCTGCTTCTCAGAAAGGTCCCGGGGCGGGGGGCGTGCGTGGAGGGCAGGCAGGGCGGGGGCTGCGGCTGATACCAAGGAGAGGAGGGGGAGTGAGAAATGCTGGGAGGCAAGGCTGGCGGGGAGGCCACTGCCCTGTAGCAAGGGACGGCGGCAGCAGGTCAGCGCCGGGGCCACACACCTTAATCCCCGGCGCCGCCAGGCGGTCCTACTTACCGCGAGGCTAGAGAGCCCGGGACCGCCTAGCCTTCTGGTCGCGTTCTCCAAGGGGGGGCGCGACCACTTAAAGACCAGCAAACCGAGCTCAATGCAGCATTCTACCACCTTCCCGCCCCCTCTGTGCTTCCGCCTCCTGATGACTTACACCTGAGGGACCGGAATTCCCGCCTCCTAACGGCTGCTCCTCACGGCGATTCGTACTTTAACTGCTACCTAATGCATACGCCACTTCCCTTCCAAAGAGTGGCAGCCAGAGAGGCTCCTGGACCCTGCATGCCGCACCATCGGGGGCGGAGCCCGAACGGGGCGGGGCAGAGACCGGCTGGGTCCCTAGCTCCGCAATTGGCTCTTTCGTCCAGGCCGCTGCGCAGTGACGTATCCTGCCGGCTCGGCTAGGTAGGGGCGGGGCGGAGACCGGCTGCGTCTCTAGCTCTTCAAGTGGCGAAAAGTCACCAGCCCAGCCGGTTCTGCGAAGATGTGAATCCACTTCGGTTGGGACTGAGGCAGAGCTGCGGTTGGGACCCGGAGAGTGAGCTTTATCAACCATCTCGGGTTGCGCGTCTTAACGTACACAAATCCCAGTGATACTTTTATAGTTTAAATAATTATACACTAAACTTGTAGAAATTTTTACTACTGTGCAAGAATCTGTATTTAAGGAATGGATATGCCACATCTCAGAACACTGTCTCTCCTAGTGGGATCGCCTGAAGGCCTGATTCCAGCACAGTAGAGCTACGTATCTACGTTGAACAGTAACCTTGTATTGATGTGTGTCACCTGTCCTGTGGTCGTTAACCATCTTAACGTCCTTCTTAATGATGTTTGCTCAGTAATAAACGTTTATGATGCACAGTTTTGTTGAGCATGGATCCATGACAAATAATACTACCAAGCATTTATTAAGTGTCTTGTACGTACGAGGTGCTTCCTGTGCATCAGCTCTGGTCCTGTCATTCCCTGAGTTATATATGATTCGTATTTATTTATATATTTATATGTGATTTATTTATATATTTATTTATGATTTATATATCAGACTCAGAAATGTTCAGTTACTTTATGTCTTTAGTTGAATTTCAGCGACTAAAGGCCTGTCAGATGCAAAGGTCCAGGTTCTTAAATCTCACACATTGTCTCTGCTCTGGAGGAAGGAATTCCTCTGAGACCAGCTCAGGGAGCTCAGTAGTCTGCTGACTACTTTAATCTAGATATAAAGTGAGCATTTTGGTAGTTGGCCAGGACAACTTTTCAGTTAAGAGACCTGTCTGAGTTCCGGCCTGATGAAAATGATCACTTGGATATATATGGCTGACAGAAACTTAGGAGAATTTTTTGGTTTTAGTTTGCCTGACGAGACAATACAGAAACTAGGGCATAAGAAAACTCCAGTCTAAGTCCCAAATGGACATCCTGAGCAAGCTTATTTAAGCTGAAAAGAAGAGTTCTACCCCAGAACAACATTTTGTAATTTCCTGGTAAATTCAACCTCCCAGGATTCGCAGAACATTATCAGGAGAAAGATGAATTTAACTTGCTGCTGATTGTTTTGCCCTTTATTTGGTGAGTGTTAGCTCTTGGACCCCCGTCTCCTCCTTGAGAGATTTTGGGACTTCAGTGTCACAAGAATTTTAACATATTAGTTAATAGTGGGTCAATTTACTTGGGTTCAAATCCCACCTCGAACACTTAATCGTTTGATGCTTCAGTTCTATCATCTATAAAAAGAAAATAAAAATAAATGAGTGACCACTTCATATGCATTAGATGGCTACTATCAAAAAAAAACAGAAAATAAAATAATGAGTGTTGGCAGAGAAATTGGAACCTTCGTGCATGTAAAATGATACAGCCACTAGTGGAAAACAGTATAATAGTTACTCAAAAAATTAAGGTTTTTTTGGGTTTATACACAAAAGAACTGAAAGCAGGGCCTCAAAGAGGTATGTAAACAACCGTGTTCATAGCAGAACTATTCACCATAGCTAAGAGGTGGAAGCGACACAAATATCCTTGAACAGATGAATGAATAAGCAAAACGTAGCATATACATACAATGAAATATTATTCACCTTTTAAAAAGAAGGAAATTCTGATATATGCTACAGTATGCATGAACCTTGAGGATATTATGCTAAGTGAAATAAGCCAGTCACAAAAGGACAAATACTGTGTGATTTCACTTATATAAAGTACTTAGAGTAGTCACAATCATAGAGACAGAAATAGAATGGTGGTTGCCAGGGGCTGGGGGGAAGGGGACAATGAAGAGTTGTTATTTAATGGGAATAGTGTTTCAGTTTTATAAAATGAAAAGAGTTCTGGAGATGAATGGTGATGATGCGGGTAATTATGAAAGATCTGTGTTTTACTGGATATCTTGTTACTTGATCAGTAAGTCAGCTGATAAGTAGATAGAGCCTACATATCTACTAGGGGAAAGTCCAAGACAAAAGGGATGCATGTGACCATCCTGTGGCGCTGTTAACTGATAAGGAAACGCCAGGTAGCAGTCTGTGAAGTGCTTCCTCCTGAAGCCTTATGATTATTACAGACATTCAGTATCAAGGTAGAGAGCTGAGAATAGTCCTCAGGTTCCAGCTGGAGCCACCCTAACCCTCTTGTGCTATTTTATGATTAAATATTTATGGGAAATGCATTACGCCAGACAGTCTTTAAAATAAACTGTAGGAATTTGCGACAATTACTGTATGACTTACCTATTGCTTGTAACAAATTATCCCCAAACTTGGCAGTTTAAAACAACAAATATTTATTCTCTTACAGTTTCTGAGGAGCTGGAATCAAGGCAGCATAGAGGGGTAGTTCTGGCCGAGGATCTTTTTTAAGGTTGCAGTCAAGGTGCTAGCAGGCGATATAGTCATTCTGAAGCTCAACTACGTGGAAGGATTTACTCGCAAGCTTACTCATGTGGCTAAGGGTAGGAGGCTTCAATTCCTTACCATGCAGGCCTTCCCATAGGGTTGCTCATGACATGGCAACTCACAGCCAGAGCAAGTGATATGAGAGTGATCAAGTCAGAAGCAACAGTATCTTTTATAACCTGATCTTGGAAGTGACATACCACTGTTTCTGCCATATACTGCATGTCACACAGACCAGCCTTGGTACAGTGTGGAAGGGAACTATTACAAGGCTGTGCCTACTAGGAGGTGGGATCATTGGGGACGGTTTTATCCATTCAGGCTGCTACAGCAGAATACCATAGACTTGATGGCTTATAAACAACAGCAATTTATTTCTCACAGTTCTGGAGGCTGGGAAGTCCAAGATCAAGGTGCCAGCTTGGTTGGGCTCTGGTGAAGGCCCACTTCCTCATTCATGGATGGCCATCTTTTTGCAGCAACCTCACATGGCTGCAGGAGTGTGGGATCTGAGTCTCATTTACAAGGGCATTAATCCCATTTATGAGGACTCCCACCTACATGACCTAATCACCTCACAAATGCCCCACCTCCAAAGGCCATCACATTGGGGATTAGGATTGAGGTAGGTGTGGGAGGGATACAAACATTCAGTCCAAAGCAGGGACCATCCTAGAAGCTGGCTACTACAACTACATTGCTCAAACAAAATGTATTCTTACTTCAGATCCTATAATAGAAAATGAAGTGAACTTAGTCTAGGAGACTTTTAGCTACAAAAAGGGTCAGAATTGCCCACTGGCTAAGAGAGAAGCCTCTAGAACCAGACTCTCTGGGTTCAGATTCTTGCTTTGCCACTTACTGGGTGAACACTTAGACAAATTATTTCTCTGTTCCTCAATTTCCTCATCTGTTGAAAAGGGTAATAAAAGCATCCTCTACCATGATATGTCTGGTTGGACACAAGAGCATTTTCCACCTTATAGGAATACAAGGGAAGCTACCCTTGAAGGAGAAGTGGGTTTCGATTA